CCCAAGCAGCGGGGGAGAGAAACGTCTGCGTGGCTCGCCGATAATCATTATTATTAACGATGGAATTAGCATTCGACGAAGTGAGGAGAGATCTCGAAGGGAAAACCGGTCTATTTTCACCGACGTGATAAATACTTCTATCGCTCTGAACCATCGAAAAGTGAAGAACAGCGAGGTACTTTAAGGTCGGCAATTTCTTTGCAAATATTTAATTTACCAAAGTCGTCTTTACGGTGAAGAGAAGTTGGAGAAAAAGAGGGGGGAAAAAATAAAAGTCAGCGTTAATTTGCTGGGTGAATGCTCGAAAGGAGTGTACATCGGTGGAAGATTAATTTCTGAAAGCGACGCCGTCGTCTTGTCGGCGTCTTCGCCTTTGAGGCGTGCCGGGTTCGGTTAATGAAGAAGTTTTCTTGGCTGGCCAGCTTCCGGGCTTTGCACGGAAAATTATTAATCGATCTTCCTTCTCTCCTTTCAGTTAAGGTCCCGTTGACAAACAGCCTTGAGCATCAATGTTTCTCTTCTTCTTCCTCCTCTTCCTCTGCTTCCTCGTTCGAAATTTACTGGAACGTTTAAATACATTTACAGCGAGAAAGTGAGGTTAGGTTTTCGAAGATATGTTTCACATGGAAGGTGAAGGTAGAATTCGCGAGTGGAAGAAGTGTCGATGTTGAAAGGACAATTTCAACGGAGTCGTTCTTTGAAATTTTCCGCCCGTCTTTCTCTATCCCCGCCCTCCTGATAGATCGAGCTTCTCGAGGCAATAAAAAAGAGACAAAGTTACCTCTTCCAGGGAGAGACTTGGTTTCCCTGGAAATTTCATGGCCGAGTTGAAAAGTGTATGTTAGAGAAAGAAAGAGAGAGGGGGAATTTTGTAGGAGGGAAACGAGGGGGTGAAAAGCTCGACGAAAGGGAAAAGCAAATAATTTTAACGAATCGAACGACCCTGATATGAAAAACTCATATCGTCAGTTCAAGGTATCGCCGCGTATCGATTCCTTTGTAGACAAAAGTCTGGGAGACTCGGTTCCAAAGAACATCTCGAAACGCGACGCGGAATCAGGCCACGTATACAGAGTAGCCTTGAGCGGAATATCGAAGACATCGAAGATATTCACTGACTTTTCAATCTTCGACTCTTGGCACACTTTTTCGAGGAGTCGATAAAAAAGACAATAGAAAAATAGCAGCCGATAGAGATGGTTAATCGGTGCACGCCAATCGTATGTGCATATATATGTATATATGTATATTTATACGTATCCTTAATATTATCGGGAAACTAAAATGGGTGGAATTAAAAATGGTAGAACACGCTCGATCAGATGAAACTCAGCTTCTTAGCTAACGAGCATTGATATTTTCGAACATAATAGTATACAGAGTGAAATTTTAAGAGGTGATTCTAGAAGATAAAATAAAACGAAAATGAAGAATGAAAAAATTGCGCTTGAGGCTTCGTTTTTTAGTTATTAACAATTGAAGATACCCCTGTGAGCGAGCAACCGTTTGTAAGTATAAAATACTCAAGCTGTAACATACAGAGTGTTTGGCCACTCCTGGGAGAAATTTTAAGGGGTGATTCTAGAAGCCAAAATAAAACGAAAATGAAGAACGAAAAAATTACGTTCGAGGCTTCGTTTTTTAGTTATTAACAATTGAAGATACCCCTGTGAGCGAGCAACCGTTTGTAAGTATAAAATACTCAAGCTGTAATATACAGAGTGTTTGGCTACTCCTGGGAGAAATTTTAAGGGGTGATTCTAGAAGCCAAAATAAAACGAAAATGAAGAACGAAAAAATTACGTTCGAGGCTTCGTTTTTTAGTTATTAACAATTGAAGATACCCCTGTGAGCGAGCAACCGTTTGTAAGTATAAAATACTCAAGCTGTAACATACAGAGTGTTTGGCCACTCCTGGGAGAAATTTTAAGGGGTGATTCTAGAAGCCAAAATAAAACGAAAATGAAGAACGAAAAAATTACGTTCGAGGCTTCGTTTTTTAGTTATTAACAATTGAAGATACCCCTGTGAGCGAGCAACCGTTTGTAAGTATAAAATACTCAAGCTGTAACATACAGAGTGTTTGGCCACTCCTGGGAGAAATTTTAAGGGGTGATTCTAGAAGCCAAAATAAAACGAAAATGAAGAACGAAAAAATTACGTTCGAGGCTTCGTTTTTTAGTTATTAACAATTGAAGATACCCCTGTGAGCGAGCAACCGTTTGTAAGTATAAAATACTCAAGCTGTAACATACAGAGTGTTTGGCCACTCCTGGGAGAAATTTTAAGGGGTGATTCTAGAAGCCAAAATAAAACGAAAATGAAGAACGAAAAAATTACGTTCGAGGCTTCGTTTTTTAGTTATTAACAATTGAAGATACCCCTGTGAGCGAGCAACCGTTTGTAAGTATAAAATACTCAAGCTGTAACATACAGAGTGTTTGGCCACTCCTGGGAGAAATTTTAAGGGGTGATTCTAGAAGCCAAAATAAAACGAAAATGAAGAACGAAAAAATTACGTTCGAGGCTTCGTTTTTTAGTTATTAACAATTGAAGATACCCCTGTGAGCGAGCAACCGTTTGTAAGTATAAAATACTCAAGCTGTAACATACAGAGTGTTTGGCCACTCCTGGGAGAAATTTTAAGGGGTGATTCTAGAAGCCAAAATAAAACGAAAATGAAGAACGAAAAAATTACGTTCGAGGCTTCGTTTTTTAGTTATTAACAATTGAAGATACCCCTGTGAGCGAGCAACCGTTTGTAAGTATAAAATACTCAAGCTGTAACATACAGAGTGTGTCTTTCTCTATCCCCGCCCTCCTGATAGATCGAGCTTCTCGAGGCAATAAAAAGGAGACAAAGTTACCTCTTCCAGGGAGAGACTTGGTTTCCCTGGAAATTTCATGGCCGAGTTGAAAAGTGTATGTTAGAGAAAGAAAGAGAGAGGGGGAATTTTGTAGGAGGGAAACGAGGGGGTGAAAAGCTCGACGAAAGGGAAAAGCAAATAATTTTAACGAATCGAACGACCCTGATATGAAAAACTCATATCGTCAGTTCAAGGTATCGCCGCGTATCGATTCCTTTGTAGACAAAAGTCTGGGAGACTCGGTTCCAAAGAACATCTCGAAACGCGACGCGGAATCAGGCCACGTATACAGAGTAGCCTTGAGCGGAATATCGAAGACATCGAAGATATTCACTGACTTTTCAATCTTCGACTCTTGGCACACTTTTTCGAGGAGTCGATAAAAAAGACAATAGAAAAATAGCAGCCGATAGAGATGGTTAATCGGTGCACGCCAATCGTATGTGCATATATATGTATATATGTATATTTATACGTATCCTTAATATTATCGGGAAACTAAAATGGGTGGAATTAAAAATGGTAGAACACGCTCGATCAGATGAAACTCAGCTTCTTAGCTAACGAGCATTGATATTTTCGAACATAATAGTATACAGAGTGAAATTTTAAGAGGTGATTCTAGAAGATAAAATAAAACGAAAATGAAGAATGAAAAAATTGCGCTTGAGGCTTCGTTTTTTAGTTATTAACAATTGAAGATACCCCTGTGAGCGAGCAACCGTTTGTAAGTATAAAATACTCAAGCTGTAATATACAGAGTGTTTGGCTACTCCTGGGAGAAATTTTAAGGGGTGATTCTAGAAGCCAAAATAAAACGAAAATCAAGTTTTTCAGTTATTAACAATTAAAGATATCCCTGTGCACAAAATATTCAAGAAATTCATCCCACTAACGTAGTTAAATGTTTAACCTACAAACTCCTCAAACTCCCTTAATTTAATAAAAAACGGAAAAAAGGAGAGATAATGCCAAAAGTGTTTTTCGATAAGTAACTTGGAAAGAACATAAACGAGGAGGAGAAAAGCAGGAAATAAAAGGGGAGGAAGGAGGAAGTGTATAAAATAGTATCGTACGCGAAATAGATTTGTCCGGGGTTACGGAATGAGTTGAGAAATCGTCGCGAGCCTTGAATTTTCTCCCATAAAACGTTCCCCTGGGGGTAAGCGAGTAGATCACCCTGTATACGGGGTGGAATCCGTTTCTCGGATTTTACGAGGTCCCGCTTGAGATCTTTCTTTTTTTTACTTTTCGCCTTTCTCCATCCCCCTACGATCTCTTCGTACGTTTTCCTCTCTCTTTTCTCTCTCTCTCTCCCTTCTTCTGTCGTTGCTCTCTCCATTCCTATCCTCCTTCTCGTCTCACTTATTCAGACGTTTGACGGAACTTAGAATATAAACGACCCCAAACCAACCCCTATCGGTACGTCAGCTTGAACAGGGGGTAAGGAATGATAGATCGAGTTTTTCGACTGGCAGGGTGTAAATATGCGGTCTCTGAAAGACAGCCTGATGAGACGGTTCCTGCTCGACGCCGGAAACCTCTCTTCCCGATTCCCCTGGCTCTTTACGATGGAATCGAGCCCCTGATAGATCTATAACTTCTCAGAACTTCGTCTTAAATTTGCAACACGTTCGGAGAAAAATTAAAAAGTTAACCGTGAATGTTCGTTTGAACATAGAAATTCGAGTGAACTTCAAAGAATCTCCACTTTGAGGATGCACTACTCGGTGCTCCCAAACTCTTTGGGAACACTCGTCGATTTTTTATAAATTCAGAGATCAATAACGAAGTAACAAAAAATCTGTTAACCCTTACTTTTCTCTTGATACCTGTAGGCGTTTTGAAAATTTAATTGCACCAAGCGTTTTGGTGCATTTCCACCTTAGTTTAATAAAACAAATTAGAAAACGATACATAAATCTGCAGCGTTAAATCTTTCTTAAAGTTGCAAACTTCTATCTGTAAAATTCTTGCCTGTCTTACAACGCACAGTAGTTCGAAGCTTCAAGTCGACAGTCTACACGTGCAACGGAATTTTTCATTTTATTCGACGACAAATTCTTCCCCATCCGAACAAAAATTCCCCGCAAGCTTTCCGGAAGGATCAAGCGTGTCCCTGATCTGTCGCAGGTGAACTTCGCCGACGTCTACTTGCCGGCGAATCTGAAAGTGCCGAAGGTGAGGGTGTTGCCAGAATTCTCGAGGTTGGCTCACGGGCTTCGAAGCGGGAACATTACGATCCTAGATAGCAAAACTTTCTACATTCCGAATCTGCACTACGACGGCGCTGGTCCAGACGCTTACTTCTGGATTGGAAACGGCACAGAACCCAACACTTTTGGCATCAAGGTGCCCAACGAGAGAAAAAGGTACCTTCACCTCTCGCAATAATTACAAAAAAGAAATGAACAATTAATAATCGAAGGAAAAAATTTGTCGCACAGTTTGTTACCGCTGAGAGGCTACCAAGGGGAGGACATCGAAATCGTTCTACCAGGGAACTACACCGTGTACGACATCGACTGGCTGTCTGTGTGGTGCGTGCAACACCATCAGAATTTCGGACATGTCCTGATTCCGAAGGATCTCGACGTTCCTCCTGCCCTTGGTCAAACGAAAATCACGGTAACTAGAAGAGACAGATCATCGATACGGATGAGTGAAATTTCACGTTCTTTAGTTATTCATACACGTCCAATTCAAAGTTAACGTTCTCCCATTGCGAAATATCAAGTTTCATTAATGAAGTGATGTATTTTTATCGGGATAGCCGCCTTGGTGGTACGATCCTGTAAGTAAAATGCAGAGTGTACCGAACGAAAACGACTTCGATCCTTTCGAAATTAATCATCCACTTGACAATGTCTAACGCAATCTCTACATAAACGACGTTCTCTCGGTCCTGTTTTACAGACAAGCAGCACACCGACACCGCCGCAATCCAAACAAGAGTTGACCAATTGCAAAGAGTTGCTCGAGGGTCGTGTACAGGTCCAATGGGAGATGATAGGAGAGGAGATACACATTAGAGTGTCGGCGCGTATAAGGGAGGATCAGTATGTAGCGTTCGGGCTTTCCGGTTACGACGGAAAATCCGAAATGATCGGCGGAGACGTTGTAGTGGTCGGTTACAACAACGTGACCGGTGAATTCATCGCGAAGGATTATTACATATCCGACTACGCGCAGTGCGACGGTATGAGGGGTGTGTGTCCGGACGAAAGGGTTGGAGGGAAGAACGACGCCATCCTTGTCGGCGGGGAACGAAACAACGGAGTGACGGCAGGTGGAGATTCTCTTTGAACGATATTTCTCTGTTTCTTTTTGTTCGTCGCAAATTTTGCAAGACGTATGACATGTCGGTTGTACGTGAATGTTACAGTTACGTACAGGAGACCGTTGAGAACGAACGAACCGGTGAAAGACAGGATGATCCCGGACAAGGAAACTAGCGTGATCGCTGCGATAGGACCTCTGAATTCGAGAGGAGAAGCGAATGCTCATCATAGCTTCGACAAGACGATCGAGGACATTCGTATTGATTTTACGTCCAGGCATGTCCACGAGTGTCCAAATTCCCTCTACAACCTGCCGAACATGTCTAACATCAAACCGTGGCCACCAGCGGTAATCACCAATAAGACCTCGTTCAGCGCGAGGATCGGGCCTGCTGGCGGGAAAAGAGGATACTCGAGTATCACAGGTATCCTTCTTCTAGAATGGTAGATTTTTAGTTCTACAGTAGACTCTTTAATCCCTTGACGTACGATTTCTTTTCCTGACTGTGCAACTAAGCGTTAACTAATTGCTGTTTTGGTACTATATTAACCCTTCGACGGTTTATCCCTGTTAGACTCGGGCAAAGCGTGAAGTATTTAACTGTTTAACTCAGGAGAGACTCTTAGGGAGAAAGTTAAAAAGGGACGAGATATTATTGTCACAAGTATGACGCAGGGTTGTGTATCCCTTGTTTTAAAAATTATCATACACGACATGATTATTCAAAAAATACCTGTCAAGTATAAATTTCTTTCACCGTATTAGACTGTCAAAGGGTTAAGTAAGAAGAGCTAACGATATCTTTGGCGCGTTACACGGCAGTCTACCTTAACGTTCCTTCACTTTTGAAATGTTTCTTTTAATTCCTGTTTGAAATGAAATCGAACCGTTGCAAATGAGAGGTAATTTAATACAGGAGATCCGGCATGGGGCGTCGCGTGGTACATCAACGACTTGCTGATCCCAGAAATTACCGTGGAGAGAGGACAGACGTACACGTTCATAGTGGAGGGCGGGAACGATCCAACTAATCCGGCGAGGCGAGTTGACATTTCAAACTATTAATAGTCCAGTTTATATTCTGTTCCCTTGATTTCACCGCAACTTCGATGTTCGATAATTATGCGGAATTCATGCTATCGACATACCTTCGTTCTCCTATATATTCGATGACAATTTTCCCTCGGGGAATTTTCATTCTAATTGAAGGTAACGGTGAACATGTCCAATGGAATACATATAATATCGAACCAATATATACATATACATATTTCACGAGCTATTTTACCAATTCGAAATCTTCACAGGTAGACAAGTTTTTTCCTGTTTTTTTATTTTAGACGTATTATAATAGAAGAATGCGTTTTTCGTTCTGCAGATACCATCCATTTTACATCACCGACAGTCCAGAGGGTGGATTCAGCCAAAACACAGAAGCAGCGCAAATGGCGCAAAGAGTGTACGCTGGAGTGAAATACGACGCTGATGGATATCCTTATCCAACCGCTGCTGGTCGTTACTGCGAATGGGTGCACAAGACGGTGGACATGAGCGCAGATATGGAGACTTTTGAGAACTTCTTCGAGACACTTAGACTGGAATGTGACAAAGGTGAACCGGCTAAACTCGTCTGGACAGTCTCCGAGGACACTCCGGATATGGTCTATTATCAGGTATGCTTGATAAACCGATTGAAATTGTAATTACAGCGGGATCGATTAAAGATGAACGCGGTGATCTCTTTGTGTGGCTTGAAAAATTGGAAATTTGTGTAACGTAGAAATGTCCGCTTTGTTACAATTTTATTCTGTTCAATGTAGAAATTTTCATTTTGTCATAGTATTACTTTTTTTTTTAACGTCGAAATTGTTACTTTGTCAGAATTTAATATTCTTTAATGTGATAGAATAGAAATTTTTACTTCGTCACAATTTCGTTTCCCTTAACGTCAAAAAATCGTTCTTCTGTCGCAGTGTTACACGCACAGAAATCTCGGCTGGAAGATACACGTTGTCAACAGCGCACACGCGGTAATGCCGCTTCTCTCACTGATCGCAACATCGTTCGTCGTCGGTATGTTACAGTTCATAAGATGAATTAATCCTTGAACGTCGTCTAGAGAGAAATATACGCGGGAGAGTATATGGGGCTTACGCGTGACAACTAAAAAAAAATATAACGAAACGGATAATCGTATGGAAATATAGGGGCGGGGAGGGAAATTTACTTATGGAAGCTCGCGTAAGGAGAAGAAGAAGAAAAAAACAAAACACGATGCAACGCATGATATACAGAAGAAAGAAAGTAAACGTAAACACACACAAAAACCAAGGCGCGATTGTTTAAACAAATCGGCTGAAACACGATACAAGGTTGTAAGAAAGTACTTAGCTCGTAAGGTTTAATCGTACGTAAAAGATTAGCAGAATATTTTTAAGATCTGGCAGACACGTATTAAACACGGCACACGAGGAGAACGAGTTATTCGAGGCGATTTTTAAAACGTTTAAGAATTTAAGAGACTTACCTTAGGAAAAAGAAAAAAAAGGAGAGGGTGGAACTTCTTGACAATAATAATATCATTCGGGAGCGGGGTAAAAACGTGTGTGAGGTAAAATTCTGACAATAAACGTGAAACGTATGTTGTTCGTAAAAAGGGGAGGGTTTTACGTTTTACCCTCCTTTCTCTATCTTTCTCTCTTTCTTTCTTTCTTTTTTCTTTTATCGTTTCTTTTTCTCTCTCTCGAAGAAGAAGAAGAATCGACGACGCGCTTCGAACAGTGACAAAAGAAATGAGATGAACCGATGGGGGGAGGGGGAAGTATCCGTGGTACATGTACAATGTAAATTTTGCACAAAGCTATAGTTGAGTATAACGTAACATTAACAGAAACAAAACGAAAAAAAAAAAAAAGAGAAGTGAGGATGATCGAGTAGCAATTAAGATATACATTTATAAATGCTGTCGAGTTGACAATAATACGTAGGGTAGTGAACGACGAAGGAATCGCTGAAGAGAAACGAGAAGGAAATAATGTACAAGGTAAAAGAGAAAAACGGTGGTCAGACGTTATATTGTAATTTAAGGGAGATACAGTTACAAACTATCGCCCTAATACCTGTAACAATGCTAATAATATGTACATGCTATAGAGTGGACCTTCCTAAAACGGAATGAAAGTATAAAATGTGCCTTGGGTACAGATAATAAAGAAAAAAAAAAGAAGAAAAAAAGAAGAAACTTCTCTAATTACACGAATTAGGAACCACTCGGACAAGAGATACCCTGTAGTACTTAGGAGCTGGTTTCTTCAATTTGTTGTACGTCCTTGATAAAATAGAAACGAAACTAAATGAAAAACATGTGGAAAAGATATCTCGAAGAAAGCATCTTTCTTGAAACGATTCTGAATCTTAAATTAAAATAAAAAAAAAGGAGACGTACAAGTGATCGGAACTAAAGCGACGCGTGCAAGAAATGAGAAAAAAGTGGTGCAACCAAGAAATCAGAGAAATACATAATCACTCTAGAAACTTAGAGATTAATAAAGACGAAGAAGAAGGAAAAAAGAAAGACGTAAGCGAGAAATCTCTCTCTCTCTCTCTCTCTCTCTCTCTCTCTCTCTTTTCAAATGACGAATCGCGAAAGCTCTGTCCAGATTCTAAGTAAACGGGGTGTCCTCAAAATTTTCCAGCAGCGAAGACAACTAAAAAAAGATATACACAAATTCTTTGCAATTCCGATTGCTTATCGCACGAAGACCAGTCTGTATTTAACTACATACGCATACATAAACCTAACATAAACATTATATATATAATTAAAACACACATTACGCGAAGTAAAATACATACCTATGAGAAAATTCGGAAAAATTTCCCAGGCAACGTTGTCCAATCTCTCCCTCGTTTGTCCAATCGCGTCACAATAATCCAGCAACGATGATAACAATTAGACGAGCATCTAACGCCATTGTATCCAACGCCACTCTCTTCCATAATCAGTCTCGAAGAAATAATTCGGAGAATCAATCGACGAACAGATTGGACATCGTTGCTATAGCTTTCACACACGTGAGATGCGTAAGAAAGAAAGGTGAAGAAAAACAGATAAACAGCATTGTTAAGTAGGGACACTACACGCGACTGTAAAAGTTAATTAAGCGACAATAAGACGAGGACGATTCGCTTGACGTTCGTGTCACGTCTGGATCCGAAATTTTCCGGCAATACTCGACGGCGATCCACCGCAGGATTCCATTTGATTTGTTCTTCTTCGACGTCTGCACAGCTTCGTACCATCCTCATCGCCATTTCCGCTTTTCTTCTTTCTTTCTCGATTTTCTTCCCATCCGTTTCGCCCCTTCTACTTTCGTCCTTTCTTCCCAAGCGAGTCCTTCGAGAGAAAGCTGAGGCGGATTCTAGCATGTAAGCGGATATAAAACTCCTACTTCTGTGAATGACAATAATAAGATACACTTGACTTGCCGGATCGGAAGTTTCAGTGGGCTGCTCCGAGGAATCGAGCGGTTTCGCGCGAGTCGAGAATGGTTGGAAGTTGAAAATATAAATATATATATATATGTATATCCTCGAGACTCGTCGATGTTTGTTGTCCCGTGTTAAAAAAGAAGAAGAAAGAAGCTCACTCGAGACAATAAATAAAATCGTTAACTACGGTCGATCGTGTTGCTCGACCAAGTATAACTCCGACAATAAACGCGTTTGATAGAAAAGAGTTCGATATTTTCTGCGGAGAATGGTGAAACACGTATCTGACAATAATATTTGATCGAAACGGAGAGATAAATGATACAGTTTTTACTGTTCTCGATTTTTTCAAATAATTTGGACAATATATACTTGTGTGCTCGATTCTTCCAAGTACAAACGTCGACGATCGACCGCGTCAGTCGCTTAGAGATCGGACAATAACGTGGCGATTTTTGTCGCGATACTTAACAGTGGTGGAGAAAAATACGCCGCGACGACCAGGCGTGATTTGGTAGGAAACGAAATATGTAGTCTTGTACGGATCAATTATTCGAGTTGTAAGTGTACAAAAGAAAAAGAGGAGAAAAAAAGAATAAGAAAACTCGGTTGAGAACAGCGTGTGTTTTAACGCTGACGTTTAAGATAATTATTATAAAATCGGTGTACAGAAGAAACGAACGAAAGTGGTAGATAGCGATGTAAAAATCTTCTCTTTTTAAAAGACTCTCGTCTAACAAACCCTCTCCTCTCTTTTTCTCTCTGTCTCTTTTTCTATGTATCTACGTGCACGTTTCTCTCTTTCTCTCTCTTTGTCTCTCTCGTTTGTCCTCCCTCACGTTTTAGAGAATCTTAGGTAGAGTAAGTGGTTTAACAAAAAAAAAAAAAGTAAAAAACGAACGTTCAGATTTTCACGGAGCAGCCCTGGCGATGTCCCTCAAGTTGTTAGCGATTAAGAAGCGAAATAATAGCTTAGACGCTAAGTGAAAGACCTTTTTTCGCTGTATCGACGTGTAATTTAAAAACGCAAAGAAACAAAATATACTAAAAAGAAGATCTGTACGAAGGATCAGGATGAAATCGTGTATTCAACGTCGATCTGGATCGTTTTTGCCGTAACGAAAGAAAATACGATCGATGTACTACGATGAACCCGAAAAAGTGTGTGAAAATTTCGAAATCGTTAGCGATTCTTACCTTATAGCGGGTAAATACGTTTACATTTTGTGTCTCTTCGTATTCGTAGTCCAAATAGCGTTTTACTCGTTGTAACACATTTTCTTCCATACGCGCCGATCCTCTCGTGGAAATCGACGAACGCAAAGGATCGATGTACCGCAAGCTCGAGGAACTGTAAGCGAGGAACAAGAAGAATTCGTGATAGAATGTAATTCTATCCTAGTTAGCGCTCAATTCGGTCCAGCTGTCTAAATATGTACACGTAAGAACGTTCCTCTTTGAGTAATCCTTTCTTCGTCGATAATTTTGTACAAGCTTTTTGCGTCGATCGATCGGTATGCCTGATTTTTCTTATCGCGATACCTACTCACATATCCCTACTAACATATCCCTAATCTAAGAGAATGGAAAATGTTTGAAGGAGAAAAGAACAAGAATCAAAACGATTAATTAGCGTGTGTGTCTCTTTTTTCTCAATTTTATTTCTCAAAACAGCGGACTATATTGTATTTAAGTGTAACGATATTGTAGGGTAGAGAGATTTTTTGTCGAGCGTCCTCGAGATCGGCGTCTATGTCTCTGATTTTCCCCTGAAAGCCGTCTGAGGAATATTTTGGAAAGTCGTGTAATTATTCTATATAAAAAAAAAAAAGAGAAAAGGGAAAAAGATGAGATGATACCGTGAGTAATTATGGAGAATCGATCGAGAGGGGAATGGTTAAGGTTCAGCGAGAAGGAGATGATGATCGATAGAGATCGAACGAATCGTAGAGATGTTAAGTAAGATCGAGCGTGAATACAATTCGAACTAGTGATTTTAAATGGTGTCGATTAATCGAACGGATGTGTAACACTGTCAATATGTATGTAACGATGAGAAAAAAAAAGAACAGACGTCTTCTTGTTTCGACGATAATATCGTAGAGTTAAAGAACTCGAAGGAGGCTTTTAAGAAGAAAACAACAAAAAAAAAAAATAATAAGTAACTGGATATCTTTCTGAATCTTATCCTCGTGGTAGAATATATTTTCACACTTAAGAACACGCCGTTAGGAGAGCGAGAGAAGAAAACAAAAAAGAAGAAAACAAGGGAGAAACGGTATTTGAATATCAGTGCTTCAGCTCTTTGCACTCATCGAGTAAATCTGGTTTCTTCCTCCGATTATGCGAATCGATATGCAAATCTGTATTGTATGTGATATGTAAAGACGAAGAGACGAAAGTAAAGAAAAGGTGAACGAAGATTTAACAGGATACGCGAAGAAAGTAAAAGAAAAGAAAAGAAGAAACTTCGAAGAAAGGATTTCAGTGCAATAACGAAGAACGTACAAAGGTATTGTGGATATCGATAAGAATTGATTTGTTACGATAGACCGTCCTGAGTTGTGTTTAACAAATTCTAAGGATCTATTTTTGAACGATAATTAAATATCGTTGGGTGAATGTTGTAATATTTTATCGTTAAGAGAACGAAAACGAGAAATGTCTCTCTTTCAAGAGAGAAGAAATAGAGAGAGAGAGAGAGAGAGAAGCGGAGTTTTGGATTCGTATCGAAAGTAGTAGAATAGCCAATTAACGGCCAGACGCGAGTGCGAAGAGTTGAAGAGGAGGAATTCACGAAATCCATTTCCAAGTATCCGTAGATGAGTAAGTCGTTTTCAAACATGGTGACACGCACCCATTTTAGCAATTAATAACGCCCCTCGTAGTGTAATAACTTAGTTCGTGAACTTTAAACGAAGAAACGACAAAAAAAAAAAAACAAATAAGAAAAGAAACACAAGGAAGAAAAAAAGAAGAAAGTAAGACGAAGAAGGAAGGAAATAATTGATCAACTACTTCTACATCCGGAAGAAATGCTTCGGGAACGACGAAGAAAACTCTCTGAAAAAAGTCTGTAGATCCCGGAAAGCGTGCGAAAGAAGAAGAAGAAGAAAACAGGAAAAAAGAAAACAAAGTTTCGGCGGAATTTATCAAGCTCTCGCGTAAATTGAAAAAAAGTAAAAAAAATAACGTAGCATTATCGAGAATGGTAAAAAATAAAATAAAAAACAATTGTCAACCGTTTTTTTCAACGTTTACGTGTTAGACTAGATTAATCAACAAAGTAACTCTATTAATCGTGTACTCGTATTACTGTAAAGAAAAAAGAAAAAGAAAAAAAAAAAAGAAGTCGATTCAATTTTTGCCAAGATCCTCGTGTTTTTACGAGACACGTGCGAACATAATAAAAACTCCGAAAGAACATATCGATCTTTTTTAAAGTAACATAATTTCGTTCGTTGTTCCATTTGTTTCCTTTCGCGAAAGATAAACGAACGATGGCATTGAAATAGTTTTATCGATATACTAGGCTAAAAAGAAGAAAAAGAAGAAAACATGGCTGACTAATTTTAACGAAGTAATTAAAAACGCTATTCAAACGCTGACACTATTTATCGAACACCGAAATAATTCATAATGATAACGATAATAATCGCACGTGTCTGAAGAAGTTTTATGGTCATCGTGAATGCGAAATGTTGAAACCTCTCTGGTCCAGAGTGCGTAAGCCTACTAAACTGCATACAAAAGATGTATACGAGTTTGAATTTCGATGTCGATGCAGTATAATAGTGCGTTTTAAGCCATGTATGTGTATAATGTTGCACGTGTCACCCTTCCTTTTCCTTTTTTTCTTTTTTTTCCCCACCGTTTTTATGTCTACTACTGAAATTGATAACTACGCTAAGAAAACATTCGTGTGCAGTTCGACCGAGAAAAATAGATTATCGTAAGGATACCAATGCTCAGAAAACTTCTTTCACAAAGCTACAAGGCATATCGAATGAATTCCTTCTTCCTTTTTTTTTGTTCAAAATCGACACAGTTGTTCTCCTAATTGTGACACTTTGTAAAAGAATCGTTTTCGTGGGAGATTAGTATTTCAGATTATCCAATTTCTGTGAACAATCAGCCGAATAATTGTATTGTAGCTTTCTGAAGTAAGTTTGAAAGATCTGTGAAACATATTGTACCATCAAAAGCCTGTACTTCTAGGGCTCTTAGATTTGATTTCGTTATCGAGGAAACACAATTGAATTTAATTGATTATACTTTCGATAGATGTTCTCCAATAATGAATACCGTTTAAAATTCTACTCCAACTAAGAGCCCTAATTGAAACGAAACTAGTTCAGGTGAAGATCGGGTAAACACCTATATTTTGGTCAATTATTCCGTGATATAATCCTCCTAGTTTCGATTCGTTCGTGAATAATCACACAGGAAGGATAAAATCAATATCGACCGAATGAATTGCCGTTTCCAATAATCCAGAAAAAAAGCGTAATCGATCCACAGAATGAAGCATGTGAACGAAATGTTAATTTTTCTTGATATATAGTCTATGCATAGTACGTGAACAACAGTTGGTGAATGGTATTCAGTTGTAGCATTGATTTTGTTTTTTTGTTTTTTTTTTTTTCAACAAAGAGGAAAAAAGAAAGCAAATATACGCATCAAGCCACACAGAAAGAAAGAATTGCTCTCGATAAAAGAGGGAAAAAAAAGAAAAAAAAAAAGAACAAAAAGAAGAAGATATGTAAAAGACTGCTCTTGCCGGCAAAAAAAACCATCAACACCCTATGGAAATATAGATTTAGAGACTCCAAATGCACGCCACACGCATCACGAACACCTTCGTTTTCTATCGTATTTCTTATTTATTACGTTTTCCGATGTGTAGATCATTTTTGACAAAGGTTTGCCTTTTGAATTCCATACACGAACAAAACATGTTTGTATGTAATTTATCTATCCATTGTATGCAGATCCACGTCCGAAAAGATAACGAAGAAATATGTAACGAGATTTTTAGAAGGTGGCTGAACTATAAAGAAACGATCGTGGAGATTACGATGATTATTATTCAAATGAAAATATTCTCAGGATAATGCATCTCCTTCATTGTCCCCGAGTTTTCTCCGCAATGTTTCACGCGTTAAATCTACAGCTTTGACAGCGCTACATTTATTAACGATTGGGTAAAAGGAGCATCTAAGTAATCATGAGGTATATAATATATTATGATTATGAATTATTGAACATTGTATCAAATTTTATATTCACTTCTTGTGGTTGACAATAAACTGGTTTTATAAAAAAGATAGAGACGTTTTGTACAAATTTACCCGGCCTTCGAATCGCAACACTTCGTGTTACACGGTTCAATATATTCTTTCCTCAATTTTTCTCGCCTAATACAATTCTGCTAAACGATTCATTTTGGGTAACCCCAGGGATCTTTCTTTTGATCCATTAAAACTAAGGACGACTCGCAGATTTTCTTGAACACTTCGCGTAGTTTCCCTTTTTGGAACACCTGAAACAATTTAAAGTATTATTACTTTTTTTTATTAAAATCATATTAATTGCAATACATGAACCAGATGTAAGCACATGCCTTGTAAAGTTGATATTGTTCGGAGGCAAGAGTATCCGCCAATTGGATGCATCCAGCGTGTTCGTTCATTTCTGACATTACAGAATGCAAGAGAAGTGTAATTTTCGGGATACAAAGCTGCCGCAGTTTCTCCATTTGATGCTCACGTGACTCTTCTTCCGGTGTGCATGATTCGTCGTTGTTATTATTTGAATCAACCAACCAACCACCATCCGGAAATAGTAATACGTTAAAAAGTAGTTGTTTCACCGCCTATAAAATCATTTTATAAATGTTTAACAAATTTTCATTTCATATTGACTCATATCGAATTTCATTTTACCGACCTTCGTATGATGTTGCATTGTGGACTTCCATCTTTCCATTTCAACGTTGTATTGTGCCTTTTTATGTTCGTATGCAACCTTTTCGGTAAATGTAGCATATGCTGGTAATTCTTCTAACGGTGTAGGTTTTCCGTGATGGTAATGAGAAAACCATTCAGCGAAACCTTCCTGAGCATCTAGGTAAGTTTTATAACAAAGGTATTCCCGAATTGCGGAGGACGCTCTTTTCGACAGATTGTTCGTTATCGTAAGGTTTGTTAGTGTACCTTCCATCGTTGGATATTCAGCCATTACGGATTCAATGGAATCCGATGGAATCTATAAAATTCAACGAATTCATATGTTTTATGTAAAAGAATAAAGGAGAAACATAATAAAAGAATGACGAATCATTTAACCTTGTACCTTATTAAAAGCTTTCCTAGCTGCATCAATTCTGTCATTGGACAAGAAATATCTTATGAGAGCATTGGTTTGCCACAGCGCTTCTTCTCGTTGACTTTGATAAAATATTAGCCAATCCAATGCGTTAATCTTTTCCATGTCCGCATCAGTTATGGCACCTTTCAAATCTTCAGAGTCGATATCTACATTTTTGGAGCGTATACTTTCTACAACTAGTTTCGTGATCGCTTCTACATTTAGATTGGCATCCTCTGCCGCAGCTAAACATTTTTTACGTTGTTCTGAATCTGTTATAGCCTCCAAGTAGCTCGCGTAGTTTGTTACTTGAAGCTCTTGAGGTAACATAGCTGTGTAGAATGCAATTAAAACCGGATCGTCCATTTCTATTAAAACGCGAACATATGCCAATAAAACCTTATCTCCAATTCTATCTTTCGCATTTTTCCCAATCTGGCGGAAGAAAAATATAAGATGCGCTAAAAATCTTAAAAAGTGAGAATCACAGGTCTTTGTATCTATCATGTTTTCTATCTCTTCCATTAATTTTGGTATTTGATCCAGTATTAAATATTTTTGAATGAGGTGATCAGGCGCATTTGCTTGAGCACGAATAATCGGATTTTTCGATGCGTGGAGTTCTTTGAATACATCTTTTAAGGAGATCTCATTCTTCCAATAATCCTCGGGCATGTTCGTGAAACTTTTTATCACTAGATCTCTCACTTCTCTTTCCACTTTAATGTCTAACAGTGCTTTCATGTAAGCCCATAATCCATCTTGCCAGGAAGACGCCACTTGTAACATTTGTTGAACATTTCCACAGAGGCTAGCATAAATGGCGCGATAAAATTGACCTAAATATGAAAATATTTTTGCTAAGAAAAATTCATTTATGAATGTTAATCGGTTGTATAGATAGGAAAAAAATTATTACCTACGCGTTTGTCTTGAGAAAGCTCCCAAGCACATAATTTCCAAAGACTTCTGTTAGGATTTCCTTGAATAGGTAATTTAGTATCAGATAATGGGTTTCTATAATTGGGATCATGATGAGGTATCCATCCTAATAAACAAGCGGCTCTCCAAGGCTGACCACAATGTTCCGCTAACGCTTGTGCTTTTTGAAGACGACCACAACGTACCTATCGAATAAAATACGTTTTTTGTATTAGAATTTTTTAAGGCAATTTTTATTTAATTTTCATTTTTGTTTGTTTTTCTTCATCAAAAAGGTCTATACCTCTATGAACATTCTTTTTTCAAGTCTTGCATCATCTTCTCTGTCCAGATCGTGTAAAGGTTTATTCTCTCTTATTGGAGCATCTGGATCTAGAGATGATACCAATGGTCTAGATGAACGAAATGGAATTTGTTCCTTATCTTTATGTGTAAGTATCTGTCTCACTGTATTTTCCCATGCCAGTGTTTTATCTGTGAAGTGTTCAGTGGTTGGATATTTGTCTGCTTGATCCAATGCATTCTTCTCTAGCCAATCAATCATTAATTGATATTCCCTGATGTAACTTTCAGTTTTGAATAAATTATCTATTACAACTTTTTCTGATATGTAGGTGTTACTTTCTTCTGAATCATCCTCCATTGGAGTAGGAAAATTAAGACTATTTATTCTATTTTGATACAAACAATAAATCAACCTCCACGTGTTCCTTTCATTCTCTAAAGAAATTTCTTCTTCTGATATTTCATTAGTTTCCACTTTTGACTGCATACCTATGTCATTAAAATTTAGAGTTACCTATAAAACTTAATATAAGAGTAAAAGATTAATATACTATAGCTTTCTGTGTACCTCTCATTATATCTAACGTGTCCGTGCAGTTTTGTATAAAATCTGCAATAGTATCGAACACTTGTGTCTCTGAAAAGTTGATCTGTATACTATGTAAGAAATCATAATAAAGTTTTAACATGATCTCTCTCCAAGGTTCTTTTGCCTTTAAAATCATGCCAGTAGCACTACTATCGTCCATTATTTCTCTCAAAGTAAGTTCACTTTTCTCTGAAGAAGCCATAATATCCCTAATTTCATAAGAATTAAATGTTAATGAATTATCTATGTCCAAAAGATCATGACCCTTAATTAATCTAGGATTAATATTGGATTTGTTCAACATCCGGGGGCTATGCGTATCATTGAACTGTGTATCATCCAAGTCTTTCCGTAAATGATTACTATTTTGTAATGATACTCTCTTAGGAGTTGTGCTTTTTGTGCTTAACCTCAGAAATGACTTTCGTTGAGCGTTCTCTTGATTAAACATTTGAATGGATCGATCCATACTTTCAGTGGTATCGTTTAAAGTATCCATTGTTAAACTAAGCCTTCGAGATGTAACAACGTTTAATCAATACTACTTGTTTTGTTCAAAAACTGAATATTTACAAACGTGAATCACTTGACAATCATACCGGTATTCGAATTTCGCAGTAGGTGCCAACAAAAAAATAGGTAATTTTTTTCGATATAATGAAATTCCCTACAAAAATATCGTGAAAAACTCATAATCAAGTAAGGAACACGCATTGTAAAGTGTTTACACTATAATATGAAATATTTATTAATGTATAATATAAATAAATATTTCCACTTGATATAACATTCATCAAATTAGATTATTTTAAGGAAATCGACTTTTCATTAATTTTATATTACATTAAACTTTCTATAATTAAATTAAGATATATTTGTTATACATTTGTTTCTTTTATTATTTCATGAATAAAGACTACATATATCTGATACCAAAAAGAGTGTCCAAACTATCTCTAATCATTAGTTCGAACTACACCACCATTCTTGTCAGAAGTTCGTACTGTAGTGGACTCGGAGAAATGGCGACTCGTCTGCTTAAAGTTAGTTCCGCATTGCGGACTTATTCTAACAAAACCAGTGTCATAAAGGTAATAAAATCAAGGGTTTATGATGTGAGAACTTTTATCAAAGCACACCAAAACGAATTCTTAGGATTTACACTTAAATCAACATAATTTTCCCAAGAGGAAAACCCATTGACTCCATTTACTCCTTACGTAATAATAATGAATTTTTTGAAAGTCTGTAAAAACAAACGAATGATGATGAATTACTAGTATTATACAGCAAGTAGAATATAATAAATTGAGTTCTATAATATATATGGAAGTACTTGTGTCAAGCTATCATAACCTCAATATGCGTAGGTCATATCTCGTAACAACGTTACCATTAGTTTTTCAAATTTGACAGATACTATGCTTTCTATACATTATCTTAATGATTATTTATTTATATACTTTTTGGGTAAAGCTGTATTACATAAATTTATACATAGACTAACATAAGATTAAGTCCTAAATTTTTATATCTTATTTATCCTTGTTATATGTGCATAATTATATCTTCATTAGATACAAAAACAATGGAGGTCTACATCAGCATTTTTAAAAGAGACACTGATGAATATGCCAGCAACAGAAGTTACAACATTGGATTGTGGTATGAGAGTTGCTACTGAAGATAGTGGTGCTCCAACAGCTACAGTAGGACTGTGGATTGATGCAGGCAGTCGCTTTGAAACTGATGAAAATAATGGAGTTGCTCACTTTATGGAGCACATGGCTTTCAAGGTAAGTGTCTTCTTCTTTGCTTCTCAAATTGAGTTTAAATGAAATCAAAGTTTAAATCAAAGTCATTAACAGGGAACTACTAAACGTTCACAAACTGATTTAGAATTAGAAATTGAAAACATGGGTGCACATTTAAATGCTTATACAAGTAGAGAACAAACAGTATTTTATGCTAAATGTCTGTCAGAAGATGTTCCAAAAGCTGTTGAAATTTTAAGCGATATTATTCAAAATTCAAAGCTTGGTGAAAGTGAAATTGAAAGAGAACGTTGTGTTATTTTAAGAGAAATGCAAGAGATTGAAACAAATCTCCAAGAAGTTGTTTTTGATCATTTACATGCTAGTGCATATCAAGGTACACCATTAGGAAGGACAATTCTTGGCCCCACTCAAAATATTAAAAGCATTACACGAAATGATCTTGTTGACTATGTTAAGAAACACTATGGTCCTCCTAGGTATGTAATTATAACTTTCAATATATTTGTTTGATTATATTTACATATCTAAAAATTATTAAACTGTCTTCTCAGATTCATTTTAGCTGGTGCAGGAGGTGTAAATCACAATGCATTAGTAGATTTAGCACAGAAACATTTTGGTCAGATGAAAGGGCCATTCTATGATGAAATTCCACCTCTGTTAGAACCATGTCGTTACACAGGTTGTGAAATAAGAGTTCGTGATGATAATATTCCTCTTGCTCATATTGCCATTGCTGTTGAAGGTAATATAAAATTAATTTATAGAAAGAAAAAAAAAACTGTTTATTTACAGTCATGAATGAATATATTTGAAGGTGCTGGTTGGGCTGATGCTGATAATATTCCTCTTATGGTTGCAAACACTCTTATGGGAGCATGGGATCGCAGTCAAGGAGGAGGAGTAAACAATATATGCTTTTTGGCTGAAGCTGCTGCAACTGATGGATTATGCCATAGTTACCAAAGTTTCAATACTTGTTATCAAGTACTTTCTATTAAATTGTATTATCATATAAATGTATCTAATTCCATGAATACTATATTTAAATAACTTTTTCATATAGGACACAGGTCTCTGGGGCATATACTTTGTGAGTGATCCCATGATGCTAGAGCATTTTGTATATAATATACAACGAGAATGGATGAGGTTATGTACGACAGTTACCGAAAGAGAAGTAGAACGCGCAAAAACAGCTCTTAAAACAAATATGCTTCTCCAATTGGATGGAACTACTGCAATCTGCGAAGATATTGGTCGCCAGATGCTGTGTTATAATCGACGTATCCCACTCCACGAACTTGAAACCAGGATAAATGTAAGTAACACTTAGGTATTATAAATTTTTCAAATACAATTTCCGTATCGATAAAATTCCTTGCAGAGTGTAACTGCCAGCAATATTCACGATGTTGCTATGAAATATATTTACGATCAGTGTCCGGTTGTCGCGGCAGTTGGACCAATTGAAAATTTGCCCGATTATAACCTCATTCGTTCTGGCATGTACAGACTACGAGTGTAAACACATTTCCATCAATACATTTAGAACGAGTTGCAAGTAATATCATCTTAGAAGAATTTAGATTAAAATGAGACTACAAAACAGTAAGATATCTATAATCTAAAACCGACATTAATTTTATTTATTCTTAAAATTTGTATGTGCAAAAACATTTATATACCCTGTTGAATATTTTATAGTCTTGTTTTAATCTTGGTCAGTAAATAGAATAAATTCATTTCTAACTATGTATTACCTGGCATAAATGGAACAATAAATTTATCTTAGAAAAATTCATTGACTTAATCTATATGTAGAAGGAAATTATTTAAAAAATCATGCAAAGTAATTCCTTTATAGTCTTTTATTTTCAATGATATAATATTTATAGTC